TCGTTGGCTCGTCGGTTTGTGCCGAGCTATGCTAGGGGACCTATAAGCAATTTTATATGCCTACAGGCATGAGCCGAGCCACCCTGAGGTGGCCGACCAGATCTGTGCTAAATGCACAGATCTGGTTGCCTATAAATAGGCGGGGTCATTCATCATTTGAGAGGACTTTTGGAAGAACGATTGAGACCTCATCTTGGAGTTTTTGAAGGCTTGAAGACTTGGACGTTCGGATCTGATTCTCGGCGAGCACCCGCATCACAAAAAAGGCAGGAGTTCGAGGGGATCAAGATCTCAGATCTACGTTGTTACACTCCGGATCTAAGCTTGGTCTTAGATCCCGAGACTTGGACGATTGTTTCCTTGGTGAACCAATCCTCCCCGGCTATTATTTCCTTAGTGAAATAATACCCGTTATACTGCGTAGATCTGTCCGGATCTAGATCGCGTGGTGGTCCATGGCAAACAACCCCGGCGCAGGCAAACAACCCACCAAAGCGAGTGACCGAATAACAGGAGCTCGCGATCTGTTCACAAGGAGAAAAAGTTGTAATTTTTGATTTTCTTTATTTTTGATTTTTCATTATAACCGGATCTAAAAAAACAAGGAGAAAAAGTTGTAATTTTTGATTTTCTTTATTTTTGATTTTTCATTATAACCGGATCTAAAAAAGACCGGATCTTCTGTAACCAAAAAACTGTTATTTAAGATAGCAATGACATCAATGAAGAAAGCAACGAATTTCCCTGCGAACAGCTGCTAAGAAGACACACCTAGAGAGGCCGATTCTGTGGGAGACGTTCATGGATCGCTTCAATAGGATGTATTTTCCTCAGTCGGCCCGAGATGAGCTCCTTCGTAGATTTGTCGAGCTCAAGCAAGGGGGTCGATCAGTCGACGAGTACGAGGCCGAGTTTTCTTCTTTGAGCTGATATGCTCCCCACTTGGTTACAGACCCTACGATTAGGAGGCATCAGTTTCAAAAGGGTCTGGACAAGTACATTAGGATGGCTCTAGCAGGTAGAGCTTTGGCAACCCATGATGCGGTGCTGGATGCAGCACGGGAGATTGAAAGCGTGCATAAGGAGCCTGAAGACTCACACGTGATTCAGAGCAGGACACCAGCAGCCACCTCCGAGGCAGCAGCAGCAGGGCCCGCAGAGACAGCAGCACTCTCAGCGTCAGCCATTCCCTCAGAGTCACCCTTATCAGCGCCCTGGAGTGCAGACTCGTGGCCAGCCTTCGGTGAAGTGTTCCTATTATGATTTTGCTGGACATACCTATCAGCAGTGCCGCAAGCGTCCCCGTTTATTCTATACTTGTGGGTTCTCGGGTCATATCAGTCAGGACTGTCCTCAGCAGCAGCAGGCTCGTTTGCCCCCACCCCCAGTTCGGGCAGCCCTCCCAGCACTACCTCGACCAGCCCTGGCAGCACCGCCTCAGCCCAGATCCTATCCTCAAGCAGGGCCACTTCCTCAGCAGTAGCAGGCTTATCAGAAAGCGCAGAGCCAGCAACCACAGCGACAGATGTTCATGATGTCAGTCGTAGAAGCTGAGGCGAACGACCAAGTTATCACTGGTAAGAATGGTTTACTCTAAGTTTTATTTGCGTATGAACTTATTTAATTAGCATTACTAGATAATATCATGGTAGAATTGTTTATGAATACTAAGTTAGTTGCATTTACATCCTCCTAAATAGGCAAGGTTCTTGTTACTTCCGTACCTGCTTTATCGCTCTTTGTTTCTGGAGCCTCCCATTGTTTCTTGTCTCGTCGATTTGCGAGTGTCCATTCTCTTCCTATAACTCCTTTGACTACGAGCTAGAATATCAACACTGGCAATGGTGTCTTAGTAGCATCCAGTGGTTATGAATCGTGCCCTGTGGTTATCTGTGGGAGGGAACTCTTTGCAGACTTTCTGGTGATTAATTTGCCGAGTTTTGATGTAGTATTTAGGATGGATTGGTTAGGGTCATTCTTTGCCACCATTAATTGTCGCCGTCGGAGCGTAGTATTCGAGATACCGGATCACCCGAGATTTGAGTTCACTAGTGGTAGCATATCAGCCAGACCTGTGGAGTTCAGAGCTAGACCGAAGAAGTCGACGTTAGCTGCAATGCAAGTGGAATCTGAGAAGCCAGTTGTAGTTCGGGAATTTGAAGATATATTTCCCGACGACATTTACGGATTGCCACCGGATTGAGCGATTGAGTTTTTCATAGAATTGAAGCCTGGAACTGCTCCGATCTCCAAGACTCCTTATCGTATGCCTCCAGCTGAGTTGGCCGAGCTTCAGACTCAGTTGGATGATCCTTTGCAGAGAGGCTTGATACGACCTAGTGTATTGGCCTGGGGAGCACCTGTATTGCTCGTGGGAAAGAAGGATGGATCCAAACGGATGTGCATCGACTACCGAGAGTTGAATGCGGTGACAGTGAAGAATAAGTATCCACTTCCCCGTATCGATGATATCTTCGATCAATTAGGAGGATCGAGAGTATTTTCTAAGATGGATTTGCGGAGCGGATATCACCAGGTGAAGGTTAAGGATTTTGATGTCCCCAAGACTGCGTTTCGAACGAGATATGGACATTATGAATTCTTAGTGATGTCGTTTGGTGTGACTAATGCACCGGTGACATTCATGAACATGATGAATCTGGTATTTTATGATGTACTGGATAAGTTTGTGGAAGTTTTTATTGATGATATCTTGGTGTACTCTAAGAGTGAGGCGGAACATGCAGAGCATTTGCGGTACGTGTTGAAGACCTTGAGAGAGCATCGGCTATTTGCCAAGTATAGTAAGTGCCAGTTCTGGCTAGATCGTATTGCGTTTCTGGGACACGTGGTGTCAGGAGACGACATATCAGTGGATCCGGAGAAGGTATCTGCAGTGAAGGATTGACCTACCCCTAAGTCGGTGTCTGATATTAAGAGCTTCCTGGGATTAGCTGGTTACTACCGTCGCTTCATCAGAGATTTTTCGAAGATTGCAGAGCCGATGACACGACTTACGAGGAAGTATATTAAGTTTATCTGGTCTGACACTTGTGAGCAGGCATTTGAGGAGTTAAAGTCTCGACTGATTTCGGCCCCGGTCTTGACGATACCAGATAAGAGTGGGAACTTTGAGGTGTTTTGCGACGCATCAGGTAGAGGATTGGGATGCGTT